TGGGGAAGGCCGGGGGCCGCGTCCCCGCCTGGTCCGGGGGAGCCCAGGGGTGCAGCGGCTGCAGTTTGATCTTGTCTGCGAGCTGCAGGAAGAAACTGAAATAAGCAAATGTCCAGGCTGGCGCGCGCCGTTTCCTCCCTGGCACGTTGCAGAAGGGAGGCCTGTGCTGAGCGCGCCCCGCTCCTTCGGTCATGGCCCCTCCGGATCCCCCGGCTCCTCGCTCGCTGCCGGAGGCTCCAGGCCCCCGCGGGAAGTGCACGAGGCGTTGCTGAGGGCTCGTGCTGCTGCTTCCTTCCCTCCTGGGCCGTTCTGCCGCTCCCAAGCCCAGCTAAGGCGTTGCCCCGAGAGCAGAGGGCGCTATCAGCCGGGTGTGCTCTGCTGTGCTGGGAGAGCCGTGCCCCTCGGGGCCTTCGCCAGCACCCCAAGGCGTGGCGGTCCCGTGTTCCTCGGGGCGTCTGGCCCTGACTAGCCCTCACCCGGCCAGTGTCTTCCCACCCCTACTAGCCCTGCGTGCCCCTCTGTGCCCCTCCTCGCCCCTTAGGGCCGTGCTCCCTGGCTGCTGCGGTGCCTTTCCCAGCCCCGAGACGCCTTCGCTGCTCCGCTGCACAGCTCACGTGGGCCCGCCCCTCCCCGGACTGAGCCCCGGATCGCAGGGGGGAAGCAAAGGCTCCCCACGTGCGCTAAACCCTGGCTGGGGTCAGCTTTCCAGAGGGAACAAGTTCCCAAGCCAGGGCCCCTTGCAGACCCTGCCCAGGGCACCCCACAACCGGCCCTGGCGCTAGAGAGCTGCCCCGGGGCCACGTGAGGAAGGGCACTTAGTGCCATGGGCCGCTGGAGGGCCAGGGGCTGCCCCGGGGGCTGAGGCTCTGAGCTGGACCAGTGGGGACGTGGCTGGGAGAAGCCGTTTCTCCGCCAGCAGGTGGCGCCGTGTGCAGCGAGTGGCGCCCTCGGCAGCCGCCAGATGTTCTAATGTGATTTATAGATTTCGGTTCATCCGGAGCCGTTGCCATGGGAACAGATTTGCAGAGTGCTCGTGCCTTCGCTGTTAACCCCGTCAGGGCCAGGCTGGCTGCAGGGGCAGAGGGGGACGCGAGGGACTCCCCTCGCTCCGCATGGCGGGAGGCAGGCCCCTGGTCTCGGGGGGGGAGTGTGGGCGCTGGCGGGGACCAGCCGGCCGATTCGGGGAGACAGGACTTGGCCCTGGCTCCGTTTCTGGACGGCTGGAAACTGGCGCCCGGGGCCTCTTGCACCAAACACCCCTTCTCCCAGGAGAGAGGGGCTCTCGCAGGCTTCCTCCCACTTCCAG